AAAAAAAAAAAAAAAGTCTATTTTTATGAAATAGACATCATAATAGATAAAATTCTCTTTTTGGTTCAATAATGTAAAATTAAAAATCTCATTCTTCATGAAAGCTAAATAAGTATTTTCTGAAAGATATGAAAGTGATTTAGTGGTTGCCTCATTTACATCATTTAAATGCTTTGAACATTTCAAAGGCTTGAAATTTTTTAGTCAAAATTCTGAGCTTAGTCTTATATTGCATCATAAACCTCTCTATTTCATTTCTTCCCCTCCAAGTATGCTTATCTTATTTTATTCATTTATAATTATTTTATTTCCTTTCAATTCTTGTTATATATAAGGGCCACCCCTAAAAGATATTGTCCCTTTTAGCTCGTTACATATCGTCGCCAGTCTCATGGTTTTAAAATGTGTTTACTAGGGGAGAAGTTTCCACACCCTTGATGGGATTGCACAAACCCACCCCCTTTTGAGTCAACATACCGCCTCGTGTCTAACTATGATACCATTTGTAATAGCCCCGTGCTCACCGCTAGTAGAGATTGTCTCATTACGTATTGTCGTTAGCCTCACAGTTTTAAAATGCATATGTTAGGAAGAAGTTTCCACGCGTTCATAAATAATGTTTTGTTTCCCTCTCTAACTACTAAGAGTGTAGAAATCTCTTTCTTTGAGCCATATGACTATATGTAACAAGACAAAGTAGATAACATATGCTAGTAGTAGGCTTGAGCGGTTACTTATAGTATTGGTCAAAATCATAAACGGGTCGATAATTACCAAGTACGTGTAATTTAATACATACAAAAATTTAATTTTTTGAAAATATAATATTGAGGAATATTCCACTAATTAATTAATAAGCTAAGAGACACCAAGACAATTAATTATTATATTTTTAATTAAAAAAAAGAAGAGAAAAGATAGGTTAAAAAATATTTAAAAATTAATTTTACCCGTATGAAAGAAATGATTCCACTTGAGGAGGGCATATAGCCGTGCAGATAATTAATAGGAAGGCATAGAAACAGAGGTATTATAGTAATTTAAAAGAAAGTAGGGGGGTATTTTGGTAAAAGAGCAGGTTGCCTTCCTTACCAGAATTGCTTTTTTGGGGTTTCGAATTGATCAAAATTGAATTGTACCATAAATTGTAAGCGAACACCGCTCCTTCTCTCTCCTCCGCTTCTCACCCTTTCTTTATTCGCTCTCGTTTCTCTCTCTATCTGGGTGATTGGAGAACCGCACCATCGAGTTTTCTCCGCTGAATTCGAAGATTTTAACGCCAAACCATAAGCGTTTCGCAAGAACAAGAACAAGAACGACAAGGATTTGAAGTTCAAAGAGACTGAAAGTTTCGTCAGGGGAGAATTTGATTTTCTGATTTTGGTTTTTTTGATTTTTGATTTTCGATTTTGATTCTTGTTCTTGTTTTTGTTCGTTTGTTTCTTCCGATTGAGTTTACTTCTTATGTAATGCATCAGAAGAAATCGGAAGTTCAGATCGGAAAAGAAAGCAGCGGCGTCTCTTCCGATTTCAATCCATCCCCTCCTCATCTTTTCCCATCTTCAATCACAATTCATCAAAAACATCCGCCGCCGCCGCCGTCGTCGTCGCATAATCAATCCCACCGATCTTTTCTTTCTTTCACCACTCCTCAGATTCTAATCGAAACTCCTTCTCATCATGACCCGATTGCGCCATCGCCGTCGTCTTCTTCTTCGAATGCGCCTTATAAGAGACCTCTCTTGACCCATAATCACTCATCTCTCACTAAATCCCCAACTCTTTACCGTCTTCCTTCCACTCCTCAATTCAATTCCCTCAACCCTTCCTTCTTCTCCGTCTCTTTGGCTGTTCGGAGTGCCGCTTTCCGTTTGCTCCGCCGCCTCAAGCAGCTTCGCCGGCTTCGTGTTCATTTACGGTTGATTCTTTTGTTTTCTCTTCCGTTTTTCTATTTCTTAGTTTCTCATCCAACTCATTCGTTTTTCCTTGATTTCCTCTCGGCTTTTGCGTTCTCTGCTGCTCTTTTGTTTTCTCTTAATCTCGCTCTTCCTCGGCTTCCCTCGATACGCTTGTTCCTCGCCCGCTCTTTCCCTGTTAAGCTCATTTCCTCGTCTTCAAATTCTAGAGCGCATCTTCCGGTTTTGTGGTCAATTGGTTCCCGATCAAAATCAGAGAAGAGATTGAATTCAGGTTGTTGGGTTCAGGTCTACAGCGATGGCGATGTTTATGAGGGGGAGTTTCATAAGGGGAAGTGTTCAGGCAGTGGAGTTTATTACTATTATATGAGTGGTAGATATGAAGGAGATTGGGTTGATGGGAAATACGATGGATATGGAGTTGAGACATGGGCTAGAGGAAGCCGGTACCGTGGGCAGTACCTGCTGGGGCTACGCCATGGTTTCGGGATGTATAGGTTTTACACTGGAGATGTTTACGCCGGAGAATGGTCCAATGGGCAGAGCCATGGACGTGGAGTTCATACTTGCGACGATGGAAGCCGATTCGTCGGGGAATTCAAATGGGGTGTCAAACATGGGCTTGGTCATTACCATTTCAGGTAGCTAAATGTGTTTTTATGAAGATTTCTAGCTAAAACTGCTGGTTTTTTATTTTTGTTCTTTCATAACTTTTTATGAAATTATGCATTGCTGGATAATGATGTCAATGTAGACGTATTCCTTATTTATAAACCTACGATCATTCCCTTAATTAGCCAATATGGGACTCCCTCGACGGGTTTGCTGTGGCTTTGATTTGCTAAAATCTATGCATTTGTTCTTTCAGATAGTTTGTCCAAAGATTGGTCATTGGCTGAATTACATTGACTCGTTTGGTTCATTCTGTAAATCCTAGTTCTTTTAATAGTATTGAAGATTTTACTCGTTGGGCATAATCTTCCTGATGTTGTTGGATTGGATACCATTTCTTTTTTGTATCGGTATTGAATCTTTTTCGTAAAATTTCCCTTTTCATTTCGATATTGAATCGTTTTTGTAAAATTTCTAGAAACGGGGACACATATGCTGGAGAATATTTTGCGGACAAAATGCACGGATTTGGGGTATATCAATTTGCTAATAATGGACACCGATATGAGGGAGCATGGCACGAAGGCAGACGTCAAGGACTTGGAATGTATACGTATAGAAATGGCGAAACTCAATCTGGTCACTGGCAGAATGGAGTTCTTGACATTCCTAGCACTCAAAACTCTACTTATCCAGTATCTGCTGTTGCAGTTTATCATTCCAAAGTACTGAATGCAGTGCAGGTAAAGTCCCTCTTTAGCTACATGAACGGTTTTGAGTCGTTGTGCGTCGTTCAGCTTTCTTCCATCGTTCTTTCAATGGAGATGGTTTTCTGATTGTTTGCTATTTGCATTGTCTACAGGAAGCAAGAAGAGCAGCTCAGAAAGCCTACGATGTCGGTAAAGTGGACGAAAGGGTGAACCGGGCAGTAGCAGCTGCAAATAGAGCAGCCAATGCAGCTAGAGTAGCTGCAGTCAAAGCAGTACAAAAGCAAATGCAACGCGGCAGAAACAACGACAATACTTCAGTTGTTTGAGTCTCTGCAACAGCAGTTCATCAGTCGATAACTTCGAACGAAGGTTCGTTCGATTTCTGCTTGGTTTCATTTTTTCTCACCGTACTATTTAGCGCATGCCTTAAGAGGAAGGATTTGATATGGGAAACTGAATAGGGGCCGAAATAGCTAGGATTTCTCTGCATTAACATTATCTAATGGGGAGAGAAAGAGAAGATAAAGTATTGATATGTAAACTAATTTTGCATTTTGTTCCATTTTTGTAAAGATGAGAAGAAAGGAAGGTAAGATTATGTGAATGAAATTACTGATGGAAGTGTGGATGAAATTCTCATCCCCTAAGCCATCCTGTATTTGAATTTATTGGTCTTGTTCTTCTTCACTGCCATAAAATTGTGTATAGGTAGCCAATAAAGTATATATACCTGGCACTTTGCTCGCAACTCTACCCAACTCAAACTAAACTTACTGCTAGCAGATATATCTTTTTTTGGCTTTTCCTTTCAAATTTCCTCTTAAGGTTTTTAAAACACGTCTACTAGGGTGAGGTTTCCACACCTATACAAAGAATGTTTTGTTCTCCTCTCCAATCGAGGTGAGTGGTCCAGTATTCTCGTTGGCACTCGTTCCTTTCTTCAATTGACGTGAGACAATCCACCCCCTTTTAGTTGATGGCACATCACTTGGTGTTTAGTCATGATACCACTTGAAATGGCTCAAGTCCACCGCTAATCGATGTTGTCCTCTTTGAGGTTTCCTTTTTGGACTTCCTCTAAAGGTTTTCAAAATGAGCATGCTAGGGAGAGGTTTTTACACCTTTAGAAAGAATATTTTGTTTTCTTTCCCAACCGATGTGGTTACAATAAATTTGCATCCTCCCTAATAACCTTTGATATAAACTTGAGGTACTTTTACCGTTTTCTCTGATCTATCCATCAGTGCATAACTGTTAGCCACATTATAGTGGTCTCCTCAAATAACCTCTCCAATCTAAGCCCGAGAGCTTAGTCTTGATTTGATGTCCCCTTGATGGGATTTCTTTTTTTTATTTCGCCCTATTTATATTTACTAAAAAACTAACCAAGTTGGTTGAATCGAATCAAGTTCATCGGTTTGAACTATGTTCATCAGTTAGGTTTTTTGGCCCGAGCAGTGTTCATCAGTTAGATTTTATTTTTTCGGGTTTGGATGGTTTAACTTGTAAAAGCTTGGTTTTGGTATATGTTTTTTCCTTTTGTTGGAAAAACAAGGTTGTTGGGCAGTACACTCTGTTGCTGTCAACTAATAACTGTTTTATATATGGTAAAGATAATGTGACTTGTGAAGGATGAAGTAATTAACCGTTAGTCGTTGAGAATTTATTCACGGATCTTCTACTTCATTAAAAATGGGTAAATTTAACGTAATTGATAATTTATATAAAAAATGCCAATTTTTTAAGTTAATGATAATAATTTATATAAAATTTGTTCGAAATAATAAATTAGTTGTTGTTTTGTTAATTAATATTTATAAAATCATCGGTTTTAATTAATAAATTTCTTTTAAAAAAAAACCTTTTTTAGGATATGATTTAAGATCAGTTTAAGAAATTTAATATTTTTAATTATGAATAATAAAATCTATTTACAAACATTATTAATTTAGAAGTTTAATTAAAATTATGAATTTTATGTTATTGTAGAAAATGATTTGTTTTTTTATTTTTTTATTTTTACAAAAAAAAAAAAAACATGATTTTTCTTGTTGCTTTGTCTTCAAACTTAACTTCCAAGTAATCTCTAAATCATTTTGAAAGTATTGTGTTAATTGTATCATATGTGATCCATTTAAATTAAATTAATCTAAAAAATAAATGACATTCGTAAATTAATTAATAATTAGTTAAGAATGTCTTATATTAAATTATGTTTATGTTGTAATTAATTTTTGTTATTACTAATCACTTTTAAGTTTTTTTTTTTTTTTTTTATATATATTAATTATTAAATCATAAAACGCAAAACTCTCGACATTTATTTTCAAAAATGAAAATTATACAATTTACAGAAATAACTCAATCTTTATGAATCTCTAGAATAAATTCATAAAGATTNAGGGATAAAAATATAATATTTTGAAAGATAAGGACCAAATGAAAATTATACAATTTACTGACATAAAATAAATATGGGCCTATTGGGCTTTCATTTCTAGGTTCCATTTTGCCACACGTATAAAAGCAACAAACCGCCATAAACCTTTGTTCAGCCGCGCAGGAAGTGTTGAACATTTATAGGGTTTCTGCTCTCTCCTGCTAATTCGACAAAATGGTAATCCCATTGCCTGTTGCTCATATTTTGGTTTATATGTTTTTATTCATGTTTGTCATTGGAGAATCCCTTGACATTATTTTTGTATATTCGAAAGTCGAAATTGATTAGGTATTTCGTAATGACATCTCTTTGACATTTAACGATGTATTTTTGTTGAGCGATCAAGTTAGTTATTGTCGCTCTGTTAATTTACCGGGAAATTTGAAGATTTCATGAACGTGGTTAATGATTTCGATACTTTTCGTGTTTTGTCGGTGTTCTGAATAAGAATGCAGTATCGTTGTTTAGATGTTTGTGTCCGGCATTATTGTGATATTTTGGATGACATATGAAGCTTCGGCGAGTAGAGTATTGTTATTTTTTAATGCATACGAACTTATCTATTTGATATAAAATATTGCATTCTTTTGCAAGTTCTGTTTGGAAATCCAACAAGATCAATTGTCCTACATTTTGATTTTTTTTTGGTATAGTTTTACTTTGTAATAAACTTTAAACGAATTGCAATAATCTTTTCAATTCATTTAGTTATTGCTTGTTGTTAGGTAGGGAAGATGAATGAGATAATTATGCTGAATTTAGAATCTATCTGTAAGACAATCGCTTATTCTCCTTTCGAACCAGATGCCAAAGCTTGATTGTTAACTTCGTATAGCTAAGATAAATGCCATAACTAGCTTAGCTTAATTGATATAAAGTATGTATTTTTTTTACCAAAAGGTCTGAGGTTTAATTTTTCCGCTCACGTTGTACTAAAAAAACATTGGGTAGTTAATCAGGTTGTCGGCCGAAGTTATGAATTTTTTCTTTTTGATGTCTTGAACTCTTAATTTAGTACATAGAAGTCTTGCCTTAAAATTCTTTCCATCCTTTTTATCTATTCTTCTTTTTGTTCATGATGGTTGGATGCATGACTCTCCCATCTTTTTTTGATGTTGTAGACAAAGAGAACCAAGAAGGCTGGGATCGTTGGCAAGTATGGTATGTGCTACTGTCGTCCTTGTTCCCAAGATATGATTGAATGGAAAAATTTAGGAAGTGGGAATATGTATAGGATTTAATGACTTAGATAAAAATCTTGATGGAGGAGAATATTCTGATGTTTGCTCTGATAGATATATACTTCTTAACTGGTCTGGAATTTACGTCAGTGTTCATCAAACATTTTTCTTGTCTGCTAGCTGAGAACTTCCCCCATCCCACACTCACACCAAGAAAAATGCGAAACTATTAAAACAACTTTACCTATTGTCTTAAAGACACCTTTAGTTTTTCAATGGTTTAAATGTTATTAAACCTTTCATAACTACCCTTAGAGTAGATTTTAGATGGACATTGGGACCTGGAACAATGTAGCATGACCCTAGAATTGTGTAGCGATTCAAATTTTCTTTTCACACCATTTCAGTTAAAAATTTTCATTCTGAAATGCTGAAGGATTTTTACTGCTTTCTTGAATGCAGGTACTCGTTATGGTGCTAGTTTGAGGAAGCAAATTAAGAAGATGGAAGTAAGTCAGCACAGCAAGTACTTCTGTGAGTTTTGTGGAAAGGTACAACAGCGTTAAAGCCCTTTTCTATATGACTCTGGGTCCTTGCTGTCATGATAACTTAAAGCTTATTTGAAGCTATGAATGTGAATTACATGAGCAATATTGGTGTATCCTTTCAGTATGCTGTGAAGAGAAAGGCTGTTGGAATATGGGGTTGCAAAGATTGTGGTAAAGTGAAAGCAGGAGGCGCTTACACGTTGAAGTAAGGCATATCTGAATTGCTCTCTCAATTTTTTTTTTTTTCCATAATTTTCTTCAATATTTTAATTATGTTTTTGAATGACAGTACTGCTAGTGCCGTCACTGTGAGGAGTACCATTAGAAGGTTGAGGGAGCAGACGGAGAGCTAAATTTATCATTCTATCTATCTAGGATTAATGCTGTTGAGGTTCTCGAGTCGCCTTTAACTTCCATATATTTTTGCGGAATTTGTATCTTCTATCTTCAAACAGAAGTTGAGAAATGAATCAGTTTGTGGAATCTTGAGTTGATGATAATGAATGTGGGATATTTGTTATAGAATTTGAATTTTATTTTATGAGTATTAGAAGCTAGAAATTCTCCATATATTGAAACTGAAATGGTTGTTGTTTATGTAGTGCTATCATCATTTATTCCTTGCTGCAGAATCCTCCGGTCGTCCATTCTGGGGGCCTATTAATTGGTTTAAAATTATACTTTCTGAAGACTTGTCTGGCAGGTACAATTCCTCAATTTGATTCCACTTTTTGAATCCATCGTTGTTGCATTTTAATTTGTAGGTTGAAATGTGTTCGTATATTTATATTTGAATTTTATGAGATTGAACAAATTTGTTGATTGAGTATTCTTTTTTGACTCAATTCATTTCAACCCGTGTACACTTCTAAAATATAGAATAATGTGTGCTAGTGAACAACCCCCAGGAAATGAATAAGAAAGGAAAGGGAAAAGGGGAACACCAACAATGGGAGATATTGTCTCTAACGTCTTCTTATGTCTCCTTTTATTATATTATTATTATTATTATTATTCCTTTCCCATTATCTCCCTATCTCCCTCTCGCTTTTACCAATTTATTTTATTACCTTAACCTCTCCCATTTTTTTAGTCTATATAATTTCAAATTTTTTTAATAATTTTGTTTAGATTATGTGTTTTTCTTGTTATTTAATTTGTTAGACTTGGTAATTTTATACGAATCTAAATTCTATTGAAATTTGTAAAATTTATTGACGTTTTTATGTTCTTTTATGTTTAAATTTGTATGTGAAGGTAAAAATTTTGAAATATTTTCGTATTAAGTTTAGAATGTAATAATTTTGAGGGTAAATATTAAGTTTTTGGTAAAATTTGAATGTATTTATTTATTGTTAGGAAAGAGAAAAAAGGGGAGTGGGAAAGGGTAACTAAGCAGTTGCATTTTGGTAATGGGTTAGTTTGGATTGGCTGATTGCGTGGACTAACACATTGTGGGCCCCACTTAATGATTTCTTTTTTAAATTAAAAATTTGTTATTTTCTACCAGCAACTGCACCGCCCCCACCTTTGCTCGTACTTTCTTTTTCATATTTCCACATTTACCCCTTACCACCTCAATCGGAGTATCTAAATCTTTTGCTTAATACTTAAACTAAGTTAAATTGTGTTTAGCTTTACTTTGTTAGACCCAAAAAAAAAAAAAATATATATTGGATTTACACATTGTCTTTGAAAAATATTTAATTACTCATTGGAATGTCATGGATTGACCTTTTAAAAAAGTAAATACAGTAATTATAATAGTAAAAATGTGAATGGCATAATAGTAATTAAAGTGGAAAAAGCGAGGGAAAAAGAGAAGGAAAAGGGCAGGGTAGAGTAACAGTACAGATCACGCAGCTATGTATCAGAAAAAATACGGAGATTATGAGTGGGCCCCACACCTACTGGAATCTCTCTCTCTCTCTAACAAACTCTCTCTCTCTCTCTCTCTCTCTCTCTTTCTAACGACACTCAGTTTTCCTTACAAAACAAGCAACCATTTCCGCTTCTTCTTCTTCGTTTCTTCGTTCTTCTTGATCTTTCAAACTCTCTCTGATGATCTTTACAGTCAACTTCCATGGAGAGAGCAACGCTGAGTGAACCTTCTTCAAGCTTCTTCTTCTTCTTCTGCTTCTTCAGATTTGTGATCGGCTGATGTGAATCGAAGATCTCCATAGCTTTCTTTTCTGTTCTGCTTCAGAGAAATAGGTTATGGTTTTTCTTTCTGGTTTCGTCTTTTTTAGAGGCCTTTTCTTTTCTCTGACATGTTTGTTTGTTTCCTTTTTCTAACATTTGCTTTAATGGCGGAATCACAGTTTTCGTACGACAAAAATGTATGAAGAAACTGCCTGTTCCGATCCCAATTCCATGTCAGCTGAACCTACACCACCTGGTGTACGAGATGCTTCTGAAAATGGCTTTCCTCAAACAATGGCGCATATTCCCACTTTGCCTTCGTTTCCTCCTCCACTCATAGTCGGCGGTGGTCAAGACAGCCATGCCAATTTTGATGACAATAATCTCAATCTTTCCATGGAGGAGATTTCTTACCACCACCACCACCGCAGCGGCGGCGGCGGCGACGCCATGGAACTCGAGTTTCAGCAGCAGGCGGTGGGGTTTGATAACTGTAACATGAACCCTAGTTTTGGTCAAGAGGTAAGTTCTGATTCGAATCGGATGGTTTGTCTTGATCAATCCGCTTGGGCTGGGACGCAAATTCAAGAAATGGGGTTTAATCACCATCTGATTCAATCACAAGATCATCAGTTTTCAGATTCCGCCATGGCAGCCGCCTATACTCAAGCTCCGGACCTCTTAAACTTCTTCAACATGCCAGCTGCTAGATGCTCCAACAACTCTTCCATCTCCTTCTCCAACAACACCATCTCGAACCTCCACTCCTCCGCCATGGGGGGGTTTCTTGCAGACCTTCCCGCCGGCGACGGTAGCAACCCATCATCGACTTCGCTTTCAATACTCTACGACCCTCTGTTCCACCTGAATCTGCCACCACAGCCGCCGCTGTTTAGGGAGCTGTTTCACTCTCTTCCTCATGGATACGGTCTGCCGGCGGCTAGTTCCAGAGGTCGGGGAGGGAGTCTGTTCCCGGAGGGGGAGATAATGGAGAGAGAAGGAACTGCTGGAGTTTATGAAGACGGCGATGGAAGTGGAGTTTTGGAGTTCAGTAGGGATATGGCGGATTGTATTGGAAAAGGAAGGGATGGGAAAATGACCAAACATTTTGCCACTGAACGCCAAAGAAGAGTTCAATTGAATGACAAATATAAAGCTCTCAGGAGTTTGGTTCCAAGCCCTACTAAGGTTTTTCCATTTCCCATTAACTTTGATTTCCTTTCTGGGTATGGCTGAATCAAGCTGTTTTAATTCTTGAACTGCCATTATTATGATTATCCTTCTTTGATCTTGAACTAATAACTTATAGAATGTTCTTGAGTTTACTATTTTTGGACTTTAACTTGATTTCTAGGTGTGGCTTAATCAAGCTTATCTCTCTAATCCGCCATTAATTTTCCTTCCTTGAATCTTAAACAACAATCTAGACTGAAGATTCACTGTTTTATTGGAAATTCCTTTCTGGGTATTGATAAAATCGAGCTCTCTCTCTCTCTAACCCACCATTTTTGTTCTTGGATCTTAAACCAAACACAAGACTGATAGGGCATCAATTGTGGGAGACGCCATAAATTACATAAAAGAGCTTCTGAGAGAAGTGAAGGAGCTGAAACTACTGGTGGAGAAGAAGAGATGCAGCAGAGAGAGGAGCAAGAGGCATCGGACGGCGGAGGAAGACGGCAGCGCATGGGATGTAGAGAGCTCAAATGCGAAGACAGTTGCTGTGGGAGATGGCGGTGAGGATCAAAGCTACAACTTGAGGAGCTCATGGCTGCAGAGGAAGACCAAAGACACTGAAGTTGATGTGAGAATTGTTGACGATGAAGTCACCATAAAGCTTGTGCAGCGCAAACTCAACTGCTTGTTGCTTGTCTCTAAATTGCTTGACGATCTACAGCTTGATCTTCACCATGTCGCCGGCGGCCACATTGGCGATTACTACAGCTTCTTGTTCAATACCAAGGTTCGTCCCAAACCATAACTTTTTCCTTTTTGTTTTTGTGCTCATTTTTCGAATGATATTTCATAAAGTCTTAAAATTGACTTCAATTAGAAATCTGTTAGATGTTGAACGATAAAATTGGGTCATTGAGTGATCTACCGGTGAACAATGCCACTATCTGATTTCAATATTCATCTAAGTTTTTAAAATTTTTGTAAAAATTATTACCACTTATGAATATTTTTAAAACGTTTTTTATTTTAGTTATTCCTAATTAAGGGAGTAAATAATAATAATAATAATAATAATAATAATAATAATAATGTAAAAGTGTTTGGAATTTGATCAGATATATGAAGGTTCATCAGTGTATGCAAGTGCCATAGCCAACAAGGTTATGGAGGCAGTGGACAGACAGTACAACAACACCAACACCGCCAACACATCCATCACTCCACACACCAATACCTATTAATGAGTGTTCTTCTTCTCATCAAACCCTAAACCCTAAACCCTAAACCCTAATTGTTTTCTAATTTCTAATCTTAATTAGTTTCTATTACTTAATATATTACTTAATATAGTTGGTCCCACTACCACTTATCTCTAATAAAGCTTCTCTTTATTTCAACCGTTCTTTTATTTTTAATTCATCATATCATCATACATATGAAGTGAGAGAATCAAGTCTTCGTTCTATTTTTGTTTGTCAATAAGCTTATTAAGCTTCCGTGCTTAAATTCCTAAATAATGATATGATGTAGATAACTTATGATTTGTAAATAGATTACTTAGAATCATGATACGAATAATGCTTTGTTATCTAGATAACGAGAATATTATTTTTAAAGAAAATTAGTAAAAATAGATTACATTTAAACTAATTGTCTTCAAAAAAGTAATTATATGTTCTGGCTGAGGAATGGTACATGCCTCAAGACCTCGCAAGTCTTGATATAAGGCAATTCTATGACACGCTCCGATAACATCTAATACCCAAATATATTACTCAATATGCTTTAGAGCGATTAAACTCAAGTTAGATTGAGACATTTTTTTAGATCAAATCCAAACTATAAAATATTGGGTTGGGCTCGGTTCTTTCTTTCTTTACCCTTTGTTACCATCTGTTTGATTGCATCGACTAAATTTTCACAAAACACAGTTATCAATACTTCAGCCTTTAACAGACAGATTCTCGACCAAGTCTCAAATTCATATGTCCCAATCAGACTGAATGGGTCAAAAGAACATGTCTACAATTGTATCATCCATCTAGAAAGTCAATAATTCTTTAACTAAAAAACTTGCTCGAATAGCCCAACGTACCCGGATTCCTCGTGGTAGAATACGTACACATATCACAGTAATTCTTTTATACCTGAAACACAAGAGTCCAATGCTCATTTCAAAGGTTCATACCTGAACTCATTCATTTTTCATACAAAATATATAATAACAGAAAATATATAGTTCTTAGTTTTCTTCATTTTCCAACATTGCCATGTCACATTCTCCGAATAACAACAATTGTGTTCATTCATTCCATTGCAGTAGCTTTCTGAATTCAACGTGTGGGATTAGAGAATCCAAACTTCTAACCTCTTGGTCAAGAGGATATAACTAAACCAATTAAATTATCCTCATATAGGCACTCTACTGTGATAACAAAATCTAACAGAACAATAATCTCTCATGTTTTTACATCCATGTCTCTCCTCTCTCCACCAAAAAAATAAAGGAAAAAAAAAAAAAAAGAGAGAGAGAGAGGAAGAGGATCCTGTTGAGCTGACAGATACTAGACTTGCACAAAGAAGACTGTTTAGAATGAACTAATACAGGAATTATTTATCATATAAACAAGATGGAGAAACTCTAACAAGAAAATGAAAGGAAACAGGAAACAATATTGTTACTTCATTTCCTTGCTAATAAATTGTTGACGACAGAATCATTCAAAAAGAAGACAAACAGGAAACAAGAGTTAAAGTCAGTTGTCTCTTTTCCTCTAAGTTCCTTCTTTTTCTTATAATGGCTTTCATATGTGCCCCAAAGCAGTGTAAGAAGCTTACCACAAACACAAAGGAAGACGAAGATAGGAAGCCATATATGATAGTGAATAGCAGATATATCAGATATTACCTATTTTGAGAGGAAAACCACTGAGTTTGCTGTTACTTTTGCCATTAATGTGAGCAGCCCAGCTCTTCTGTAAGTTTGCTGCTGTTCCCACGCCCCTATCCACCATGATAATGGAAAAAACTCTTCTACTAGCATAATTAAAATGCAATACTTCCCATAAAATTTCAGAGCCACAGAGTTCCAAATATAGGAAAACGAAATCCCCATAACAACAGTGAGATTGGTTTAATGGTTTTCAACTAAACTAATTTGGTTTGCATGGGTTTTAAACTTTCTTTACTTTGTTTCATTTTGATTCCATAGATTATACTTCTTGATCTCTAAAACCCACACAAAAAATTGGTTGATATATTCTAAATAAGGCATATTGAGTTTGATATCAAACTAAAAAAATAGAATATTGATCTACAACTATCTAAACGAGTATTTATGAAAGTTTGAAACCAAATACTTAAAAGAACATTTGGAAGGGTCAACATATATATAGAGACATAACTCCAAGGATCAAAATAGAATCTAAACTTTAATGTTTGCATAGGTTAACATCAAGTGGATGAATCTCCTTAGCATAGCATTCAATACAAAACATTATAGCAGAACCCAAATGTTAACTATAAGAAATTTAGGGCAAGGGCAAGCACAAGTATCACTCACTGATGCAGGTGAAGAGGCATCTAACATAAAATTGCCATAAGAGAATCAAGTGTTACTCATTGAATGTATTTGGCAATTTCTCCCTTCCTTAATAGAGAGAGTGAGTACTCAGCAGTGTCAATGAGGTCTTCAATATTGTGAAGAGCTCGCTCTTCAGAAGCAAGCAAGAAAATGCCACGAACCTCCGCCTTCTTTGCTAATCTAGCTGCGAAGCTGAGAGGCAAATTAGGGGAGTTGAGGCTCCGCAATATCTGGCGATAAAGAGATATAACACGCCCTCTGTTCCTCGCTAAATCCTCTGCTGTTGCCCATATGATACCTTTCGCCATTCCTCGAACTGAAAAGAAAATTGAAGACATTAGAATGAAAATAAAGAGACTGCGTGACCCCCTAACAGAGAATGGTTCTCAATCACAGGTCAATTTCTCTGCCGCATTTCTTCAAACAGTTGGTGCCCTTGTCCCTGATCGAACTCAACTTATCAGGTAACCATAACTAGTTTCATCCATACAACTGGGCAATGGTGAAACATTAGAGGCATGTTGAATTCTTCAGATTTTGGGGGGTTTCCAACCATGACTCAATCATCACTACACAAACCCAACAACCATTTTACGCCCATTCACCAGATTCTCGGCGCTGATTAGGAGTCAAAAAAATTATAGAATATGAACATTTGTTTACCTGGATCAATCTGGAGCCTAGAGCGTGAGGAAGAACCACTGGACGACCGGATGCAGGATTGAAGAACGATGGCGATGGAGTTCGGAGAGAGGGAGAGATAGAGCCTCGTTTGATTCAGCAATAGAAGTTAACCCGCCGGCGGGCTTTTGCATAACCACACTATATTTCAAGGGTAAAATTACTAGTTACATGTACAAATATATATATTTATCTGCTAGGGGCTTGAGCCGTATATATGGTATTAGAGCCAGGCACAGGCGATGTGCCACGAAGAGGCTAAGCCCCAGAGGTGGACACGAGACGGTGTGCCAACGAGGAGGCTAGGCCCCAAAAGGAGATAGACTCAAAGGGAGTGGATTGGGAGGTCCCACGTCGATTGGAGAAAACGAGTGTCGAAGTGTAGAAAACAGTAAAAAAATGCTTAAAATCGAAACTCTAATTTGAAAACCATAATCTGAAACGTTTGAAGCCCGTTCTAAAAACTGCACACTTGATTTGATTTTTTTTTTCTTTTTTCTTTTTGAGTCCACCAAGGACATTTATGCTTTCTAATTTTTACATTTTTTCACAATTTTTATTTATTTTTTTTCTAATGAAAAAAATTAGAGTATTTTCATGAGAATTTTCAAAGTTTAATAATAACAATAAAACCTTTTTAAGTCTCGGGACACAATTTAAACCTTGTTAAGAGATAGAAATAAAAAATAAAATTGGAAAAGTGTATGATCTTCATTCAGATTTACCACGTTTAATACAAACTATTAACTAATAAAAAAAAATAACATATCTAACTAAATCTTGTAAATAAATAAAATATACGATTAATCAAATTTATACTAACAACCCCTAAATATCTCAGATATATTCTAACTAATATATCTCCAAAATATCCTCTTAATAAACCTACCTACAAATTTATATTTGTAGAATTCTGCCCCATCGAAATTAGCAGTTTTAAATCACTGGATGCATGAGAGAGAAACGACAAAAATACTTAGAACCTCTATAGATAAGTGGCAAAATTTTAGTTACAGTGTGTATTACTATTTATTTTGGTATTAAGGTTACCAACCACAACACAGTGCACATAATCATCTCGGCAACCGACGAAAATGCGTCCACCTATCATAACAGGTGAAGAAAATATGTCTCCTTCAAGATCCACCCTTGCAAATTCTTCTACATTTGTGTTCTGAGAATATCCCTCCTGTGTTGTATTCAACTTTACTCGAAGCAAATGTATGGCTCCAGAACTGGAGCAAACACAAATCAGCCTGAAAAACGCATAAGTTTTTCCTCAGCTTCAATGATATCTGATCGCCATGATGATATATACACACACACTTGATATCATTGAGTATTCAAACCAGCTTGTCTCAATTATTCTTAACCAATATTGTCCGCTTTGGACGTTACGTATCGCCGTCAGCCTCACGGTTTTAAAATGTATAATGCTATGAAGAGGTTTTCATATCCTTATAAGGAATGCTTTATTTCCCTCTCCAACCGATGTGGGATCTCACAATCCACCCCCTTTGGGCGCTAGCGCCCTCGCTGGCATACCCCCTAGAACCTGGCTTTGATACCATTTATAACATCTCAAGCCCATTGCTAGTAGATATTGTCCTCTTTCGACTTTTCCTTCAAGGGCTTCCCCACAGAGCCAAACACTAGGTGCTAGCGAGGACGCTGGCCTCCAGGTGAGTGGATTGTGAGATCCCACATCGGTTGGAGAGGGGAACAAAACATTTCTAATGAGGGTGTGAAAACCTCTCCCTAGAAGACACGTTTGAAAACCTCTCCCTAGTAGACACGTTTGAAAATCTTAACGAAAAGCCCAAAAGGAAAAGTCCAAAAAGAACAATATCTACAAGGGGTAGTCCACAAGGGGCGGGTTTGGAATGCTACCATGACTTATGAACCAATGTCACCTAAATCCTTTATTATGTTTATATTCCTAGACTAACCCATTATAGTTAACTGATATTATCAATCAATTCAGTTTTATTTCCTTTCTTAATTGTTTTTCATACCTGTCAGAGGAGGTGGAAGTTTCAGGCACAAGTTGCAGCTGTTCATCAACACAAGCAGATGCAGTTATCGGATTACCAATGTTGTACTCCCACACTAAATCTCCACTTTTCTGAGTAAATCCCAACAGAGAATACAAGATTTCAAGATTTGTTACTTCTCATAGTGATTTAGCAACATAAGTGTGGATCTTGCCAGTGAGAAGTACTAAAAAATTAAGAAGGAAATAAGATTTAAAAAATAATTACAATGGCGTTTACCAGTTCAAAAGAATAAATGCTTCCATTTCTGGAACATATGAGCACCTGAAACAAATATTTATAAGCAAAATTCTTACTAGAACTTGTGAGGACACTGCAAAAATGTACCTGTGAAGGGACAACGGAGGATATACAGGCTCCAGCAAATATCGGACCACCAGTTTTACACTGAATGAGATAATTTTTTATGAACACACAATGAAGAATTTTAGATAGAATTTTCAATAAAGAAAAAGAAAACGAATGTGAATGTAACAACAAAAAATTACACCTTCCATGAAACAGATCCGTTTGAATCCAGTGCAACAACGTGACCATTCACCAGGCAACAAATAACTGCGGATACAGAAATCAAGAAATTAAACACGATGATATGAGCAAGGTTGTATTCCAATATTCATAAATCCATAGATTCAAAATTTGGAAGCTTCTTTTCTGACTGTCAAATTATGTATAATGAAACCTGCCGAGGCCGTAGAAGTTTCTAAATTTGCAAACTCCTGATTGAGTACAAGGGACTCAAACACTCACAGATTTGGCAAATGCATCTCGGGTTTCATTCCTTACTAGAGAAACTTCAGGAAAAGCTAAGAATTAATTACGTCGCCCACTGCTAGCAAATATTGTTCTCTTTGGGCTTTCCCTCAAGGTTTTTAGAACGCGTCTGCTAGAGAGAGGTTTCCACATCCTCTTCCCCAACCGATGTGGGATCTTACAATTCAACCCCCTTCGGAGCCCAGCATTCTCGCTGACACCCATTCCTTTCTCCAATCTATCTGGGACCCTCCAATCCACCCCTTCAAGGCCTAGCGTCCTTGTTGGCACACCGACTCGTGTCCACCCCCCTTCGGGGTTTAGCCTCCTCTCTGGCACATTGCCCAATGTTTGGCTCTGATACCATTTGTAACGGCTCAAGCCCTCCGTTGAGCCGCCGCTAGCAGATATTGCCCTTTTTGGATTTTCTCTTTCAGACTTCCCCTCAAGATTTTTAAAATGCGTTTGCAAAGAAGAGGTTTCCACACCCTTATAAAAAATATTTCATTCTTCTCTTCAACCGATGGTATCTTGATATTTGAGAATTGCACCAAAAAAAAAAAAAAAAGGGGAAATATTTGCAACCAGATGGAAGAAATGTGGATTTTCTTCAAATCTAATGAATATCTGGAACAGATTCATGAAATACAAGAGGACAAAATAATGTAGCAAAGTTTCTTCATGAAAGTCAAACTAATGCCTTAAAAAGTATAGGAAGATAGTTGGATACCTTAGAGAAATAGAAGAACAAGAACAAGAAAACCATCATTTAAGAAAGCATGAGATCCAATATACAAAATTGCAGTAAAACTGTCAAAACTAAAGAACATTGATTAATTTGGTTTGCAAGCCAAACATTTGTTCCGAACTTGAAGGAATTAAAAGTGAATAATTTCAGTATCCTGTCTCAAACCAACTCAAACTTTTTCATTCAGGATTTCTAACGTTTTCCCAAATTCATCCTACTATAGATCTTCTGTCTACACAAATTTACAAGCAAAACGTCCAGAGAGAGACCACTCAGAAGTCATGAAACAACAACAAAATAAGATCATAAAGACATACCATTTCTAGAAAGTGGATCAATTGCAAGGGACCCAAAGACTGGCGCTTCTAGATCATAGTGCCACAAAGTACTGAAAGGAAAAGCCTGCAGTAATTAAGACGAGGAACTATTCAACCAAAAGCTATATGGCTTTGGAATCGTTACATAGTATATTGGAGACAACTTAGGCTTCTCTAACTTCAATAACATTTTGGAGAGGGAAGGAGATGAAATATATAAAAAATGGAACTAAACGCTCAATTGAAAGTCCTTCGGCGTGGAGAAGGAAAGAGAGGAATTTATCGTAACCCATTAAGTAATGTCATTTCCTTCTCAACTTATATCGTTCTCATGTAATCTTAACTTTCAAAGGTTTAAGAATTGTGGTGGAAAAGGTGTTAGGAACATAGAAGGAAACTAGAGAGATTAGTTCCTGAAGATATAGATATCCAATGGTAGTTGTCTCATTGTCTCCCAGTCTGTGTATTAAGAAACTGGATCTGCAGAAGATAGTTTCTCCTCACAGTCCCTAAGTATCAAAAAGTCCCAACTAAAATAATTGACTCAAAACTGCAATGGATATAGAAATATTTTATAACCGCCCAAGCCCACCGCTAGTACATATTGTCTGCTTTGGCCCGTTCCGTATTGCCGCCAACCTCACAGTTTTAAAACGCGTCTGTTAGGAATAGGTTTCCACACCCTTATAAGGAATGCTTCGTTCCCCTCTCCAACCGATGTGAGATCTCACAATCCACCCCCCTTGAAGGCCCAGCGTTCTCACTGGCACACCGCCCGGTGTCTGGCTCTGATACCATCAGTAACAGCCCAATGTCACCGCTAGCAAATATTGTCCGCTTTGTCCCGTTACATGTCGCCGTTAGCCTCACGGTTTTAAAGCGCGTCGGTTAGGGAGAGTTTCCACACCCTTATAAGGAATGCATCGTTCCCCTCTCCAACCGATGTGGGATCTCACATATCTAGTAGTTATTTCTCATATGCGGAATTCCGAAGCCAAATTCATGATTAGAAGGATTCATTAGAAATTAACATATACTAGTAGTTTCCATTGCCTTTATCAATAGAGCACTCGTCCGTCCACTTGTTGAAGCCACATAAAGTCTATGTTGCACCTACAGAAAGGGAAAAGTTGCATTTAAAATTTTACAATGTATTGCAGCTTCAATACTCCTAATCTATTGCAGCTTTATTTTACAATGTGCAAATGCCTTCAAATGACATCCAGTGTAAAAAAATAAGCAGATACCAGAATAGAGGGAATACAGAAATGAGTATTTTCATGACTCAAAATCAAGCCAACTCAATGAAACCGTAAAAGTCAACATTCTTAAAAAATCTATGTTTTTCCAGGCACCTGTTTATAGTACAATTATCGTACTGCTATCTCTAGATTACTGTTTTCAGCTGCTCATACACCCTCTTCTCTTCTAATATAGGTACAAACTCATGCACATCGAAACGAACCAAACATGCACCAAAAATAAAAAGAACGGAATGGCAAAGAAGAAAAAAAAATCCAAAAATGATAGATTATTTGCTTTCTTGGATCTCTTCTAATGATCCTCCTCCACAAACTTGATTCCTCATGAATAAATATCCACAACCGTTTACTAATGCTCTCATTTGAAAATAAACAGCAGTATAACCTTTTTTCAAGAGAGAAAAAAAGGTAACTTGAAACAATCTTGAATGAACCATTGACCATCATTTGGGAAAGTACTGGAAAAAATTGAGTGAGTTTACCCCATCAATTGCAGGTGATCCATATATACTTCCTCCACATGGAAGTTTATAAACACAAGAATGCCTCACGTAGTCAAATGCATATAAGTTACGGTCATATGATCCACACCTACATGAAAATTTATAAAATCTTAAGCTAATAAACTGTGTACCATGATGATGTACTTAATACTATATTTCTTTTTAGTCTGTGAATTAGGGGAAGTTTTTCTACAAACCAAACATGATCACTAAGAGACCGATATAAACAAAAAGAAAAAAAAAAAAAGAAAAAAAAGAGAGAGAAAAGAACAGAAATCTCCCAGCAGGTAATTAAAATAAAAAAAAACAACATAATAGAGGAGAATGAACGACCTGTTGGCCAAAATACCGAAGTAATAAAACCATACCAGATTAAATTTCTCTCTGAATCAACCACTGGCTGCGATTTTACCTTCATTTTAAAAAATGAAATATTTATTAATTAGGAGAAGCTGATGAGTAAAACATGATTTAAACACTGGCACTCGGCAGATGAATAATTTGTATCAAATATGAGATCATATGCAATTCATTCCCCTTTTAATGAGTTCAACAGAACTGTCATGCTTGATCATTGATCAGTTTGTTAATATAAACAAATCCCCTTACCTCACCACACGTTTGGAACGTCCATTGGATATTACCAGTGGAAAACTCGAGAAAATATATCTTCCCTTTGTAGCATCCTACTACAACCTAAAAAGTTTCCAAGAAAAATAAATATTCCTTCTCTAGGATAAAAACTTAATTAGACATTATGCCTAATGACCGCATCACAATAATGAGATAACCTGAGAAAAGTCCCCAACAATTGCCGTGGAACATTCAATTCGTCCTTCTAGCCTTATCTCCCATTGAAGAGAAGCACTGTAGAAAGTTGTGCAATAAAAGTATAACTTCAGTAAATCAAATAAAAATGAATAAGTAATTAGTGATTAGTGTACACTTCTTCATTAAAAGAAAATAGGAACTGTTAACGAAGATCTATGTGAAGTACACGGAAAAGAGGAACGAGACAAGTCAAACACACACCACACATTTACAAGAGAGAGCGAGGGACAGAAGAAAAGGAAGATGAAGAAGTTGAACTACAGCAATCTTCTTGCTTGGCTCCTTCTTCTGATATTTTTAGTAACTGCCCAATTCATATTAATTCAAGCCACTTGGAGCTTTCTTCTTCTACATTTTTTTTTCTTTCTTTCTTTCTTTCTTTATTATTATTATTATTTGTGGTAATGTTCATGGCTTTTGTCTGGGAGGATACATCATCATCACTTCCTCAACATTGTCTACAACAAGTTGGTTTGCTTTTTGATCAAGAAAGAGAACAGTAAATCACATTCCTAAGATATTTTAAAGCTTTATTCCTTACCAAATTATAAGGAACGCTTAACACATATTTCCATCCTAAAACTAAAAACATATAGTCAGTGAAAAATGGGCAAGAATAGAAGTTCATCGAGGAAAAAAAGCATCTGTTTTTGTAACATAAAAGATGGAAAAGTTAAAGATAACGTAGAAGGAATACTCTGGCTTACTACATTGAAGTAAATACATGTTCCAACTCTTTATTGCTGCTTACTTTTTTGCATCCACGCAGACAAACTTCTGTGAGTGAGAACCAATAAACAAGTAGATTTTGGGGTGTTTAAACACAACAAGTGGTGAAGCATCCACGCAAGACTCCATATGAACTTGCCATAGTTTTTTCATAGAACCATTTTCACCTCTTGGGGACTTAACTAACAAAGTTTCTACACATTCACTGTTACCAATGTCCTTGTGTTCATACACAACCTTGTTGTATCGACTGAATGCACATGACACAGACGTCAAAAGAGAATCCCACAGGTGCCCACCAACTTGGCCTATATCTTCCAAATTGATTGAAAAATCAGAAACCTCCTTATTGTGTTTCGAGATTGAAGAATTGTTATTCCTTGGTATGGCTACCCTCGAAAAACCATCATTTGGATGAACTTGTTTCCTTTTTCCAGAGTTCTGACCCTCATTAATATCAAAATGGGTCAGAAACTCAGAATCATCGAAAGAAAACTTGTTCCACCTGTCAATTTTCAGGTTCTTTCTTGAGTCAGCATCCCTACTGATATCTATATCTGACTCTTTCTTCTCTAGAAGGGCCGTAAGAAGCTTAGCTGGGCTTGGATAGTGATACAGCCATCTCATATCAACCCCTAATCTATATGAAACATGCGCTGCAGCTATAGAGTTACCACCCATCGTAAAGAAGTCATCATCACTAGAGATCTCTTTAATCATTAAAGCATCAGAGAAAGCCTGCAATGCAAGAGAACAGATGTTGAAGAAAGTGTGGATTATATAGAGAACACACTCCATTGTCCATTTCACAAACTGCTATAAATGAAGCAACAAGACTGGAAATATCAAGAAGATGGGGGCCACACCTTTTTTATGACTTGCATGTAGTCATTTGCCCATGTTTCATCAATAGTTTCATGTTCGTGCTCCCAAAGAGGTCTTGAACGCGTCAAGATCTCATAATCAACTTTTCCACTGGATGACATAGGGATTGAGTCAATGAAGAAAAAGCTGTTTGGAATCATAGCCAATAAAACTTTTTCCACCATCCAACTTCTAATAGTGGACCTGAATACATCACTCTTCTTGTTATCTTTCAAAACTAGAAATGCCACTAGATATTCAAGTTCCCTATCACTTCTCCTGGAAACTACAGCTGCATCTACTACATCTGGATGTTCCCTTAAAGCATCCTCAATCTCTTCTAAAGCAATACGTTGCCCATTAACTTTGATACTGCGATCTTTTCTCCCCAAGAACACCAAATCACCACTTTGAAGCTGTCGGACAAAATCACTTATCCTGATATAAATTTGATCACAATTTGCATTGAGTGAACCTCCATGAACAAAGTCTTGAGAAAAAATTTTATCATCCAAAGGGTGAAAAGCAGAATCTGAATAATATCCACTACATACACAGGGGCCACCAACCCACAGTTCTCCCTGGTTCAGTGCATCATTGTCACCAACAACCACAACATCACAGTGAGAAATCGGCACACCAATTGGAACAGTATTGATTTCTTCTGTCCCCAAAATCATTGGCATTCTCTTGCAATCAAAATATGTACAATCACCAGATACCTTTTTGTTCAGAAAATCGAGATATTAAATCAATAGCCAATTGATATGAGTGACAGGGGAAAAGGTAGCTCAATATGTTCCATGCTACTGAATTAAAGTGCAAAGAACAAGTGAATAGTGGCACCTTTAATTACCATCTTGATATAAATCTAAATTACAAAATTCATACGGTGCATAAAAAAGGAGTTGCAACTTTAATTTTAAAAAATATAAATAATTTCAAGATCTTCACGAGTTGGTATCCAAGAAAGAAAAAAATTCATTGTTGAACAAAGTGAAGGATTGTAAGATATACACCACGATCAAGTTTCTTAATATTCAATAGCAATCCTGACATATCAAGATACAATCTATTTAACACTTGCCATGAACATGGTTGCTTGTAAGCTTGCCACCATTCACTACTCTAAAGCATGAAGGCAGCACTATGTCCAACAAAAATTAAGGAGGAGGAGTTACTGAAGAGAGGAAGCTAAAAGAGAAACAAGTCCATGCATCTTTCCCTATAGTATTCAGTCACAGATTAGCATTGTAAGCAGAACCGGAAGTTGCCTAAATTGAGTGCATAATGCAGGAATGATTTAAATCCTAACCTCTGTACTGCCATACAAATTCAAAACTGTGGTCTCTGGTAATAACTTGACAAGCGCATTCCATAACTGTATTGGCAGAATTTCACCACTCAGAATTAACAATCTTAGGGAACATCTGTTCTGCATCACACACAGTCTTTGCAATGCAGGAAGGAGCGCCCTCATTAGTGATGGAACAGCAGTAAGCTTACTGATGGAATATGCCTTCACAGAAAGAGATTAAATTCAGCCATCCATAAAATAAGAATGTAGCATGAATTATGAGCTGATATCGACTATACAAAGTAGCAACGGCTACTAATCTCAGTTCATATATTTAATTTCAATGAACATAATAAAAGGCTCGATGGACTTTTATCTGATTAAAAAATCTATACGAGTCTACCTGAATAAAATTGACAACAGAATATAATTTTTCTTTCAACTCTTTCATCGGAGGTATAACCAAGGCAGAAGATGTTAATATGGCACTAAGAAATTCTTGAATGTGGTCAATAAAGCTAATAGATGTCTTGAACAATAAAAGTTCCTCTCCACTAGAAGGAAATAATTCTTGCATCCATTGAAAGCGATTTAGAAGACCTACAAAAGTTAAAACCATTTTGTTAATGAAACATCACTCTGGAAGGGTGATCAAAGTAACACCTTGATTGTGAAGAGCACTGTGAAAAAAAAAATTATCTTTGAATTGAAATAATTTTTATAAGTTCATTGGTTTTTCAGGAAACTCTATTGATATTGACATTTTATTTATATATCCACCGACATTTTCATAAAATTGAGATATCAACATTTCCATTTGGCATCAATCCTCGGTAATAGCATACCTTGTTCGGTGCCACATATTCCTTTAGGCTTTCCAGTAGATCCAGATGTATACATAATGTAACAAAACAACCTCCCCTTCTCACGCTCACAGGGAAAAACTAAATCAACCGCACTATTATGCTCTCGAATAGAATTTTCTTCCATAGTAAAACTAAAAGTCGAGCAGCCACTGATTTGCTTGAGCCAACGAAACCCATCAGTCAAGTGATAGCCATCTTCACAAAATGAAGATCCAGAGTAGATAATAAGATCAATTTTCGACGTAGAAACAACTGACAGAATCCTCTTTTTAGGCCATGCAGGATCTAACGGCATGAAAGCCCCTCCGCATCTTAGTACAGAAAGAACAGCAACTATATATTCAACTGAAGGTGGCATATATATTCCAAATATTTTCGGTATATTACTGCTGTCAAGCTCAACTGATGCTTCAGATAATTCATTAGCCACTGGGCCAGTCTTTACCAGCTGATCATTAGCTGAAAAATTGTAGAGATTCATTGCCATGTTTGTTGGATGATGAAAGTCCTACATCGACTAATTTAGGGAATGATCATGGGTTTATAAGGGAGGAATAACTCCATTGGTATGAGGCCTTTTGGGGAAGCCCAAAGCAAAGCCATGAGAGCTTATGCTCAAAGTGGACAATATCATACCATTGTGGAGAGTCGTGTTTGTCTAACATGGTATCAGAGCCATGCCCTAAACTTAGTCGTGCCAATAGATTGGCAAATCCTCGAATGTCGAACAAAGGACTCCAAAAAGAAAAAATGAGTCAAGCCTTCTCGAAGGTACGAAGGCAGTCAAAAATGACTAAGACTCCAAAGGAGTCGAGCCTCGATTAAGGGGAGGCGTGCTTTGTTCGAGGGGAGGTGTTGGATGATGAAAGTCCTACATCGACTAATTTAGGAAATGATCATGGGTTTATAAGGGAGGAATATTAACTCCATTGGTATGAGGCCTTTTGGGGAAGCCCAAAGCAAAGCCATGAGAGCTTATGCTCAAAGTGGACAATATCATACCATTGTGGAGAGTCGTGTTCGTCTAACAATGTTAATAAGATCGCCCCATTGATTAGCCCCATTTAACGGGAAAACACTACACTGTTTTACAGAACTACAGGCATATTTAAGGTTCAAAAGCGATGCCTAGATTCTCATTCGGCTTCGAATTGTTTTTCCAGTAATATTGCAGTCAACTTTAAACCTTCCTCGCTAAACATATAACCATTGAGATGGGCAGCATCTCGTCAATATGGATGAGAAATACCAGATTATCAAAATTTCAGTCGAATGAAGTGTATTATGCGAGTCATAAACTCGTAAAGGAGAAGACGATTACGAGAGAATTAAAAACAAAAATCAGTAGAATTGAGGAAATGACCTCGGTGAGGAGCAGTGGGCGCGATTAATCGAGGATCGCGAAGGATTGCAGGAAGGCGGGAACTGAGAGAATCAACGGAGGCCAACAGCTGCGAGTAAGTGAAGCACTGGTCGCCATCGTACATGGAAGGGAAAGCGGATATAGCCCGCTCCGTGAAGAAGTTCTCATCTCCTCCGCCGCCGCCATGTAACTGGCGGCAAAGCTGGATTCCACCGGAGGCATGAATTACTGCGATTTTTTCAGGATGAGACAATGCAACTCTCTGAAACTCGTGAGATATGCAGCAAGGAAGCTGCCTCATAGTCACTTTCGCGGAACTTCAACCATTAGCGATACTGGAAACTTTAGCTCACCTCGGCCATTGCTGTTTCTGTATTGCTTCGATTGTTTTGTGCTTGGAGAATAGACAACGTTTTAAATTAATCTGTTTTTTAGATTATACCATTAAATTAATAAAAATATCTTTAAATTTTTTATTCTCTTACAAATATTTCTTAAAAAAATTATATTTTAAACTATAAAAAATATTTTAAAAAATACCCTTTAAATTTTCAAGTTGAGAAAATTATTTCAAGAAAGTAATTTTAAAATTTAATTAATACAAAAAAATTTTAAATACTTAAAAAATGCTTAAATTTTTTTAAAAAAATAAATTAATATATTTATTGTTAATACACATTCCAAAAATCAGTTTTCCTTCTAACTATATCGCTTATAAAAATTAGAATAATATTTTTTTAGACAAAATATAATTTTTATGGATATTTTTATTAATTTGACATTCTTTTCTTTATATTTTTTTTGTGACCCAATAAATTTGTTGGTAAGCTTTTCCATAATAATCAATCATTATATTTTTTTTAGTCGTAAGAGTTCAAGCCCATTGCTAATATATATTGTCAGTTTTAGTCCATTACGTATCATTTTCAAACTCACGGTTTTACAACGCGTCTACTAAGGAGAGGTTTTCACACCGTTATAAGGAATGTTTTGTTCCCCTGTCCAACCGATATGGGATCTCACAATCCATCCCCCTTGAGGGTCCAACGTCCTCACTGGCACACCACTCACCCCCTGGTGACTGGCTCTGATACCATTTGTAACGACTCAAACCCACTGCTGGGAGATATTGTTCGTTTTAGTCTGTTACGTAACGTCGTCAGCCTCACGATTTTAAATTCTTTCTTAGTCATCCAAGCTTCATGATCACTCTCATTTAAATGTGGTATCGATTCATTTATATACTCATATTTTACTAGGGGTGAGGTAATACATTCCACCCGATTAATATTTTAAAAATCTTAAAATTAAAGAATTAAATTATAAATGTCGGGTCTACAATTTAAATATAAAAATAAATATAGGTAGAATAATGTAAATTATAAAAATAGAAAGTTGATAAGGTATATGATTCTATTAAATTTATTATCTAAGAAGCAAAGCCAATGAGTAAAGCTGACATCAAGTTTGTAAGTTCACACATACCAACCAACTAAAAAATCAAGTGATCTACCAACTATTTGGAGTAATTATTTCTTTTCAAGGGCCCAATTTATAAATATTCAATTTTAATTATATTAAGCCAAGTCGTAATTTAACCATACGCTGTGGCACATCAAATTACAACAAATTATTCATACCAACAAAATAATATTTATTATCTTATCTATAAAGTCTTTAAATATTAGTTAAATTATTTCAACTATCAAATCAAACACAATTTAATAGTTAATTAGGAGCTAGAGCAATTTTGAAAATAGAAAGCCTTAAAATTACTCGAATATCATGAAGATTTAACAATAAGGTTTGGAAATTGACAGAGGCCAAATCAGAACCGTTGAAACCGACAATCTTGACTTTGGAAAAATAGAAAAGGAAAAAAGAAAAAGGAAAATCGATGGAGCCTTCCAAGAACAGCACACTCCAGAACAGGAGTTCTACCGTGTATTTTCCAGAAATTTTACTGCAGTTTTTTGCAGTCGATCAAAACAGAATTGATTCAATAGCGTTTCTCTTGGAAGATTTTCGCTGGATGATCTTTGTTTTGATTTTTTTTTTTTTTTTGTTTTTTTAGTTCTGAAAATTTTGATGTAAATTCGAACATTTCCCTTTTGCATACCTTTGGAACGAAAAAACTCCAGATGGAATCGACATTCTCATGGCGGAATTCAAAACGCTGTTTCTGTTTCTGGATTTTTCTGTTTCTTTGCCGTCGTTGTTTGACGGACCAGTATCGGCCGCCATGGGTGAATTCATAGCTTCAACCTCTTCGTCTTCTTCCTCGTCGATGCTCAATATATCTGCAACAGAGAGAATGCGGACTGGACATGGAGAAGATTGATGATCCTCTGAAACTGACCGAATCGAACGGATGGATTCTTCTCTGTTTTTCTCTGTTCTTCCGTCTCCTCGATCGACACTCGGCGGATTTGGATTCGGATTCGGACTTCCTTGATCTCGATTGGTTGAATCGGTTACGATTTCGACCACGACGACCTCCTGGCTTACGTTTTCGGACAAATCTTGGACGACGACGACGGCAGCGTCGCTGCTGTGGCGGTAACCTAGAACCGTCACGGATGGCGGCGGAGTTTCCGGAGGCGGAGGATTCGTCGGCGTTATATTGGAACGACAGAAAGGACAACTCGAATTGGATTTCAGCCAAGTATCAATACACGCGAGATGAAAAGCGTGACTACATTTAGGCAACAATCTCAAACTCTCGTTTTCTTGAAATTCACTCAAACAAATAGCGCAATCGCTTTCTTCGACCAATCCTTCGCCCTTCTTGAACTTGAAAACCGAGATCGATTTTATCAGCGCCTCGTTCAATCCCGGTCCCGCACTGGACTGCCGAGTATCGTTAGCCACTCGATCCGCCTCGAAGTTCTCCACCGGTTCGGCTCCACCGCCATCGTCGACTCTCCGCCGGCAATACTTCGACACGATCGCGTAGTAAGTAACCAGAACAAACGCGCTAGCTAAGATCCCGATCACGGCGACTATTAGAGGCGAGAAGAATGTATCGGATTTGTCACTGTCGTCGAGACCGAAGAGCGGCGGCGGCGGGAACGGGAAGGCGCACCACTGCGGACAGAAGGCTGTGCAAAGTTTTTGAGAACAGTCGTTAAAGTTGAACGGATTGAACGGCGGGGAGGGATCGGGGATTCCGACGGAGTCCATGTGATGCGGAAGTTGAAGAGGAAGGAGATCTTTCGATGTCTTGAGTCGCAGGAGAAGGTGAACAAGGTTCAGTCACACGGCGGCGGTGGAAACCAGGACGGTGGAGGCAAAGTTTGGGGAGAGCTTATATTTTAGTGAGGAAAAAAAAAAAAACAAAAAGGCAGCGGCTGAGGCTCGGGATCAGACAAGTCTCTTGCCTTATCCTAACTTTTTCTCTCTCTTTTTTATTTTATTTTATTTTATTATATATATATATATAATAAACATGTGTTCTACTCTTTAAGTTTTTTATTTTTTATATTGATTTTAGGTTTTAATTGATTTTGTTATTTTTTTTTCCTTTGCCTATTTTGAAAATATTATTTAAAAATGGATAATAAAATAAATAATTTTTCACAGCTTAATTTTCATAAATAAAAAATAGCTATAAGATAAATTCTCTTATATAAATTTTAAAGATTTTATTTTGATCATTATTTGGAGTAAATAGGTTTTAATGTTTCTAATTATTTAAATTTTCAAAGTTTGTTGACTAACTTTTAAAATGTTTATTTTAATTTCTAAATTAAAAAAATATATATTGTTTTTCTTATTATTTAATTCTGACATATTTTAAGGACGAGTTTAATTTACCATTTAATTTTTCACAATTGAATTTATACGTCATTTTCTAAAAATAAAATGATATTAATAATCATTTGAAAATTTAATTTCTATTAAAATAATATTTTTATTCGTGAATTTCGTTATTTTGTTAACTACTATTTAAAATATTTTCAAAATTCAAGTAAAATTTTAAAAGTTTAAAAATTATAGATTCCAAATTGAAAATTATAAGACACCGACAACCTGAATTATAGCAACTAATTTAAAAGTTTTAAAAGTTTTAAAGCTATTGATAACTAATTAAAATTTAATAAAAATTATAATTTAAACTTATATTTTTGTTTTTTTTAATATAAAAATATATTTTTAACTTTACACTTTTTCTGAAAATACTCCATATTTAAAAAAGTTCAATAATATTATTAAAAGTTTAGAAGTATCTAAGAAAAATAAAAAGTCCTTTAAAATTTTATGGGTATTTTAAAATATAGTCTTAATGAAAAGACCATTCTTTTAATTTTTAAAAAATCGGAAGGGTGTTAATGAAATTTATGGTATTTTTGAAATATGTTTTTTTAAATAAATAAATAAAATACTAATACTTTCCTAAAAAACTGAGTATCTTTCAGATATTTATTTTGGAAATTTAAGGTATTCCATTTTTTCCCCTTAAAAGGTTAGATTTTTTTTTTTTTTTTTTTTTTTTTTTTTTTTGAAAGGTTAGAAATTTTTAAAAATAAAATACAAAAGTTTTAAGTGTATTTTTATTAATTTAACGTAAAAAGAATGAAAAAAAAGTGCAAATTATGGATATTTGTATTATTATTTTGAGTTCAACCCCACATAAGATAAACCGGGAGGCGGGAAGGGAACTTATACTGCCACCGGTCATTCCGGTTTCCGGTGAATGCCTCAGTACTCCGAATCCGAAAACTCCAATAACCCGGAATTCGCCGGGTTGAAGTCCTCCGATCACTCCCTCCACCAACTCTGAACATCGCCGCCGGAGGCACAGCTCTAAATCACGTAACTTCTCATTCCTCAAGGACTTATCCTTTTTGCTCGTGAACTAACTGAAAATTTTCAGGTGGAACTGTATAGCGAAACTCCGAGCTCAGCGAAGATGTCGCAGCTGGGAAATCCGGCCAATAGCAGCAGCAGCAGCAGTAGCATTCCAGTGAGTGAAGCGTACTGGTCTCTTGTTGACAAAGCTGACCGGAAGTTTTCCAAGATCAGGGACCTGCCTTATTACGAACGCAATAGGTTTTTCCGCTCTTCAATTGGTCGATTATTTGGTTTATAGGAGAAAGTATGTGAGAAATCGATCAAATCTGATGGAGGAAATGATAACTCTTATCTGGATGTTGATTACTTCTACCTGTTGATGTAATTTTCTTAAAATATGTTAGGAATTAGTTGTAATTTGAAAGGAGTTTCATTCGGTGGTCCGTTTTTCATCAATTGAAGAATCACATATTCTCTTTCTGAATCTCTGATCTATATTTATTTCCGTTCTACCGTATAGAATTGAGAATTTTGAGCATTTTGGCTCTCAACGGTTTCAGGTACGAAGCGTATTTTCATAAGGCGTTCAAATTGTACTCACAGTTATGGAAACTTCAGCAAGAGAATCGTCAGAAGTTGGTTGAGGCAGGGCTAAAGAGATGGGAGATTGGTGAGATTGCTTCACGAATTGCTCAGCTTTACTTTGGGCAATACATGAGGACCAGTGAAGCGAATTATTTATCCGAGTCTTACGTATTTTATGAAGCAATATTTACTCGGGAGTACTTCAAGGAGGGATTGCTTCAAGATGCCAGTCTTGCGAACAGGCAGCTGAGATTTCTGTCCAGATTTCTGATGGTGTGCCTGCTTTTGAACCGAAGAGAAATGGTCCATCAGTTAGCCAATCAGCTTAAAATGTTACTTGATGATTGTAAGAGAACATTCCAGGTGCTTTTCTTATCTCACTCTATGTTCTTTGATTATGAGTATAAATTGTGAGCAATATGATAGTGCTGGACGAATGGATTAGAATTGAGTTGATTGATAATTGTTTTAGCTTCACCAATTGACCTTTAAGGTCTGAGTTCGCTAATTTCACCCGCCCCAGAAGTAAGAAACTCAAGTAATATTACATGGAACTTTATCTTCTGTATGAGCGTAATTGAATTTTCTTTGAATGTTTGAAATTCATCACAATTTTTACACTCTGGACATAGTTAATTCATCTTTATGAGATGGTCATTTATCTATGGTATCAATTTTCTGAAGTGATAATGTATTGTAAATGTCATTCTACAATTTGTAGTTATTGACTAGGTCTTATTTCTCTTGACTAGAGCCATTTTTTGTAGTTTAGATCCTTTTTTGTGGGCTTTTCCTTTTTGTATACCGTGTATTCTTTTGTTTTTTTTTTCAATAAAATTCCATTGTTTTTCATTAAAAAAGCCGACGATTGTTTTGTTCTTGTAGATACACTTTTTACATGTTTCTGGTGTGCTCTCTTCTGCCTGTTTTTACATCTTTTCACACCTCTGGTGTTTGTTTCGGGTGGACACATTTTCCATGTTCCTGGTGTTTGCTTTCTTAACCTGGTGCATATGCATATATTTCGTTCACGGTGAAGAAAAGATGGCATTTAGATGTGGTTGGGAAGGCTTATCTTTCTGTTGTTTTTTAAATTCATTTGGCACAATTTCATCAATGGCTGTTGATTTATCATTTGGATCTTGGTATAAGCCAATAATGTATCTGGGCTGCTGTTCTAGGAGAAGGATGTTAGAGAATCGAAGCTGGTAGTTCAGGAAATAATGAAATTTCTGAAAGCAGATACAGCCTTTATGAATATCAGGCCTTTCAGATATAGTGTTGTGTTAGAGCCTCATCCAGATTCTCTAACACCTGTTCCTCCATCACGAACAAAGAGATACTTGAGGTTACAGGATGCTATTCTGAGTAGCTACCACCCAAACGAGGTTAGATATTGAGACCTTCCCATGACTTGGCTTTAAGGAGAATTTAGTACTTCGATGTGTCTTAATGATGTCATTTCAGAAAAATTCAACATAATCGATATATTCTTTTGTGTTGATTCATCTTTCCTTCCCTGGTTCACGATCAGGTCAAGTTTTCTGAGCTTACGCTAGACACGTTCAGGATGATCCAGTGCCTGGAATGGGAACCTAGTGGTTCGTTCTATCGGCCAAATAATAGAAGTGGGCAGAATGGAGGATCTGGGCCAAGTCGCAGTAACTTCTCACAGCATATAGTTGATCCTACTCTCCCATCTAATCCTCGGAAGTCAATTTTATACCGCCCTTCAGTGACACATTTTTTAGCAGTTAGTATGATAAGCATACTTCCTATACACCTGATACTCATTGTTCCATTTGTTATATTGATTTATTAAGAAGATTTGTTTTGCAGGTTCTAGCTACAATTTGTGAGGAGATGCCAAATGATGGGGTTCTCTTGATATATTTGTCAGCTTCAGGTTGAGTGACTTGTTCTTCTTATTTTTTACTCTTCTCACTGAAAACTGCAATACTTTCCTCACTATCAAACTACTTCAGGCATTGCAAAGAATATTTTATCTTCCCCAGCTGGCAGTGAGTCTATCAACGATGCGGAGGATATTGATAAAACCAAGTATCCTTGTGGTCAAGTTGGAGGAGGCGTCAAAGGTCGCTCGACTGGTTGCTTATCATTTGGTGCTCGTGGCAAAGGAGGTAATTACTGTCTGATCGGACTAAACGTGTTTCATTTTGGTTTTCCATCATCTGGATCTGAAGCTTGTTTCTGCAAATTGGAGGGAAATGCCCTATTTATAACTGCGTCAAAATGAAGATGCGATAGAAAATTTATTTTGTTATAGAAGTGGCCAAGTAAGTCTTTTTTGGATTTTACTCTCCTCTAAGGAAAAAAGGTCATCTAGTTTAGTTGATGTCCGTAACTCAGTTGAAAATCTTCATTGGTTCGTTGATTGAATTTTGAATAAGGGTAAAGTAATTTGGAAGTGATTATATTTTGCTCTTGTGAAGCATGCTATGCGTTTGTGAGTAACAAGGTGGTTGGCTGACATGGTGATGTGGATTTCATTTTTAGCTTTTTTGGGTAGTTACTACCATTATTTATAGCTACCGTTATTTCTATCTATCCAAACACAAAATCTTCAACTTTTTTTCTTTTAGCTTATGTTTTCACTTGATACTATATATTATATAACCACTGTATGGATTGCTTGCTATGGTCACTTATGATTCATTAACAGGATTAAGCTGCATAAATCTCATCGACTTGATTTTGTTAAGCGGAAGGCTATTTTCTTTCAGATTTTGACTGTGAATCTGAATACATGTTTAGTAAAAGGATTCTAAGCTTTTTCTTCCATATAATAACTCCACTTTCACATTATATACTCAAATTGGTGAAGAGTAGCTTTCGCTGATCACTTATAGTCCTCTCCAGGATTAAGCTGCATATATCCAAGCGACATACTTCCATTTACAAGAAGGCCATTTCTTTTAGTTATTGATAGCGACGTCAGTGAAGAATTTGAGGTCAGTTTATCGATCTTGAGGTTATTCTTTTTAGATTTTACTGTTTTATGCCTTGGCTTTAGAATGAAGTTCCTGTTTGGATGTCTCTATATGACTTGGAGGAAAAGATCATCTTCAATTTTATTCACTAGTCCCATTATCCAATGATATACATACTGCTCTTGTCTTATACTGGAGGAAATTACTTTTCAAAAATTTGCAGACTATCCATGGATCAGAAAAGGGAGAGCCAGCTGCAATGCTGTTTTCTCCCAGCGCTACAAGTCATACTGTTGCTACCGATTATCGTCATGGAAGCCTTTTCACCTTTTTTCTCACAGCCCCATTGCATGCTTTCTGTCTATTGCTTGGTATCTCAGGCTCTGATGTTGAAATGGTATGGTTAAATCTCGTCATGTTATGCTTGATAATTGACTCTTTCTTTCAAAAAATTTACAAAAACAAAAATGGTTTAGGATACATTTAATAAAGCCGAGAACGTGCTATCCTCGTCCTTAAGTGAGTGGGGGCAGCTTTTAGTGACATCAGAGAACCTCAATCAAGTTTGGGCTCAAATTTTGAATGATCCGTTCATAAGGCGACTTCTTTTGAGGTAATATCCTGTGAGCTTTAGCTATGATGCTCACAATGGTGGTAGAGACTTATAATAATGAACTGCTTGACTGAATAAGATAAATTGCTTGATTTCCAATCAACTTGTTTATCTATCCTAACTGAAATTTTGGTTGGGTTTGCAGGATTTTGATTTCTTTTTGCTCTTTGCTTTCCTTCTTCTTCTTGCCTATTAATAATTCATAGCACACAAGTTTCAAACAGTTTGCCCCATTATCTCCACCAGAAAAATATATCGACAGTTCTATGCCTGCCCATTTAGGATTTTAGAAATTTCAATTGGGGTTAAAAACCCAATGAGCTTTGGGGGTTAAAGGTGCATGCAATTTACAATATTTTGAAAGACATTATTTTGACTTTAGATTTAGAAGAGTAATAAGAAGAGCCAAGAAGATGTTCGAAAGCAAAAGGTGGCTTGGTTCGTATAGGCCATGGCCAATGAGAACTTATAATCGGGCTGAAAAATCCATACCTTTCCCCTTTTAGTTCTTTCAAATAAGTTGACTGAAAAGATCTTTAATGGCTGTGCATGGTCCTAGGAGATAAGAATTGTTTACGTCAAGCTAGAATTCGAGCATCCATGTGCAGGACGGACCTTTGAGATGAAACAATCTGCAAGTTAACTTTTGATAGTTTGATGTCTTACTGATCTTTATATTTAGATGTGTGATTCTTGATCGACTTTAGACGCCTTTCGAATTATTCTCTGTTGATACTTTCTCTTTCCAGATTTATATTCTGTCGTACCGTGCTAGCACTTTACGCGCCAACCATCGGTAAGAACGAATATGTTCCAAGGTGCGTGCCATCTCTGCCCTCCGTCGTCGATCCAACAACCGCAACATTGCAATCTGCAGTCATGCAGATAGCAAATATCTTCGGTGTAAGCCACAGTTTCGTCTTCTCAGAAAACCTGGAATTTCCAGAAAACAAGCAATGAAATGTGTACTCAAAATTAGTAAGTCTACTATCGCTTGCTTCTTTTTGCTGTCTGCTTTTGTGTGAATGGATCTGGACTTTCTTTGGCTGTGATTGAACTGCACAGAATGCTATTGAAAGCGCTTTGAATGCTTCTTAATTTTTCCCAGGTGGGAAAAATAGGACCCAAATGAACAATTTCAATCATTGGTGGCGATGTAGCTAGAATGTTAAAGAAACCTTACCAGGTACCAATTATTTGTAGCTAAATTCAAAAGTTCTGTTGGTTGTCTGCTATATTTTGAAAATAGTGTTATGACCGATTTGGAGTGAGTTTTTAAGTGCTTAAAATATTTAGCTAAAATAGTATTACGATCGGTTTGGAGTGAGTTTTTAAGTGCTTAAAATATTTAGCTAACACTTTTTAAAGCACTTAAAAAGTCATTTCAAATCGACTCTTAATCTTATTTCTTTCTTGATTTCTACTAAAATTATTCCTCAAAATGCTCAATCTAAAGTCGTGTTTTTTTAACTTGATCTATTACCTGTATAGGTATACGTGCTAGAAGGTTTTGCATCATAAACTTGAATTTTAAGAACCAGAAATAAAAAACCAAATCAACCTACTTAATAGTTCAAGGATAGAAAAAAAAAAAAAAAAAAAATCATGAATCTATTTGATTAGAGCTACAAACTTAAACATTAACTAAACAAATTGTCTCGAGACGTGTCTGAAACTTCTCTAGAAATATTTTTAGGGCAAATAGTTGGTTGAACAAAGGATAAAGCACAACCATAACAGAATTGAGAAAGAAAAAGTGAGGAAGCCACAGTTTGAAGTGTTTTTTTAATCTTTAACTTTAGATGGTCAGCCATTATGAATGATTATATGTTGTCCCTTGATTAATTACTTCCTTCTGCTTTCTTCTAACAAAATATCATAATTTATTTGTAAATGTCGCCATATCAAACATAAATTACGTTTAAAAGTATATGAACCAAATAACAAAATTCTATCGTGCATATATCATTGATTGTACTTTAGAACAAGTTTAAAGTATAATCTCAAGAGAATCTTCTTTCATTTCAGAGAAAGAAAAAGAAAATAAAAAAGAATCCTAACATTTATTCCCATATTGATATTGCACATTCTGAATTATTTTTAGGGTACGAGACCAATCAAATCTGGTGTGATGATATCCCGTCTCTAGTGCTATCTTCTCAAGTGTATGGTTCAAAAATCTCTTTTTTGTACTTTACTCCTAGGTTATGTTTTTTTTCTAGCTCTCGATTCTCAAAGAATCCGTAATATTACTAATATGGACGCGGGTGAGATGGGTACTGGATGAGATTTCACAAGACATAACTGGTCTTTTAAAACCCGGTTGTTACTTTGGCTTTTTTAGATTCGCTGTTACACAATTATAGAGTGTATTTACTATTATGTTGAATGGCAAAACTTATTTTTATGTATAACAAAATACCTTTAACCTATTTACGACTTTTTTAAAGTTCGACTTAAAGTTCAAAATCGAAAACATAAGGTAACATAATTAGATGTGTCACGCTCACTACGATGACTATGATGACGATGATTAGAAAAAGTATTAATAATTATTTTTGAAGTCTCCAACATCATGATAGAATGTTCTACAAGTTTTTTTTAAAAGAATGTAAATATTATTTTAACGGTTTAGGTACTTTTATAATTTAGCAAAAATAAAAATGTGGAAAATGAAATAAAATCTCCAATGGTGGCTGTCGTCTTTAATCATTTCATTTCTGCTTTGAAAGTATATTTTAGAGATGTTCTTCGAGAGCTATGAAGTTGCACATGTCCCTCTCTCTGTAAATCGACCTTAAATTTCCGTCAGCGACTTCAGCTTGAAAACGAAACCTATCCCAATTCATGGAGGTCCGAAAACCAGAAAAGGACCATCTAGTCCTCACCATCGACCCGCCGGAGAAGGAACAAATCTCACCGTCTCCGACCAGAACCAAAACCTTCCGCCGTCTCAACTTCTCTAAACCTAAATCCCGCTTTGAGGAACCTGATTTCTCGCGTTCCATTCCCAGAACCATCCCGGAATCCACAGATCTTCTTCAACCTCCAGTAGAAGAAGACTCCAGTTCTTCATCTTCATCTTATTCCTCTTCCTCGGAGTACGAAGATGAAGAAATCGGACCGGAAAATGAAGACGGAGGCAAAGGCGGACGAAGACGGAAAAGGAAGGCGAAGAGGAAGAAGATCAATAAACGAGCGTTAATCGAATGGATATTGTTCCTTACAATAACCACTTGCTTAATCTGTGCATTAACACTTAAATCGCTTCAAGAGAAGCAGATTTGGAGCTTACAGGTCTGGAAATGGTGCTTGATCGTAATGGTGATTTTCTGTGGGCGTTTGGGGTCGGAATGGCTCGTCGGACTCCTCGTCTTCATAATCGAACGAAACTTCATGCTCCGCGAACGAGTCCTGTATTTCGTCTACGGCCTCCGCAACAGCTTTCAGAACTGCACTTGGTTAGGGCTGGTTCTAATCGCCTGGATGATAATGTTCCCCGACGTTCACCACAACAACAAAGCCCTCTTAAAGGTCTTCCGATTCTTGATCGCCGTCCTAATCGGCGCCACCATCTGGCTTCTCAAAATCCTTCTCGTAAAAGTACTTGCATCCTCGTTCCACGTAGCGACATTCTTCGATCGGATGAAGGAGAACGTGTTCAACCACTACATCCTCGAGACGCTGTCCGGACCGCCGCTCGACGAGGAGGAGAGGGATAACGTGATAAATTGCCAACGCCGGTTGCTGCAGCAGTCGAAGTCGATGCCGGTGCGGTGGCGGGAGGGTGGCGAAGGAGGTCAGAATTTGTCAAGATCTAAGCGGCAGGGTTCGTGTAAGAAGATCGATATTGAGAGGTTGAGGAAGCTAAGCTTGCAGAGGAAACCGTCGGCTTGGAGTGTGAAGAGATTGGTGAGCTATGTGAGATCTTCAGGACTGTCAACGATATCGAGGACGGTGGATGATTTTGCAAACGCCGAATCCGAGATTACCAGTGAATCGGAGGCCAGACGCTGCGCTCAGAGAGTGTTCAAGAACGTCGCTGTGCCTGGTGCCAGGTTTCTCTCTCTAAAACTTAAATCCTCTTTCTCTCTCTAGAATTAAAATTATATTTATTTACGATTAATATCCATTTTTTTCTCTCTCACTTTATTTTTATTAGTATTAATGGATTAAAATACATTCTCAATCTCTGAAATAATTATTTAATTATCATTTTTAACATAAAAAAATTATTTTTTAAAACATATAATTTTAATAAAACAAAATACCTTTAAAAAATTTATTATATTAATCTTATTTTAAATGACTTTAAAATAAATGTATATAATATCTCTCATTAAAATTTGGTATAACTATTTACAAAATTGTTATGAAACAATATCTTAAATAATTTACAATTAATTTCATGGGTTTCTTTCTGATTCTCAATCGAACAGGTTATTTACCTTTAGATGTAACGGGTCATTAAAATTGTTGTATAAAATCATGAGTTTTCGGCAACGCTTTTTTCTTTCCTTTTTAGGGTTTTTTTTTTTTTTTTTTTTTTTTAAGAAACCAATAATTTCATGCCCCCACCATAATATTCCAGGTCTCTGTAATTGAAAACATAATCTGGCAAGTTTTTTTCGTTCAAATTTCTATTTCAAAGAATTAAAACCCAAGAAAAGGAAGATATTATTATTTTTTTAAAAAAGTGATTTTATGCAAGCATTATTTAAGTGTTTGAAAATCTCTCATTCTTTTGTTGGGATGTACACGTAGGACACAACTGTTCTTGTCCGTAAGGGAAGTCACTTCTTCAAATGTCCTATAGGTCCTCCATTCATTGATTTTCTTTTTAATATTGACTAAAATAATGATTTTATTATATTTTTGTGTTAAAAAAAATATGTGGTTGGTTTTTTAGATTCTTTCTATTTCATTTATATGGTTTTAAAAAAAAGTCATTTAAAGTTTATTTAATGATGGATGTTTTTTAGAAAGTTAATAATAAACATTACATAAACTAAAATAAGTCCTTAAGTATAGTCTAAAAATAGAATCTTAACCAAAATCTTTTAATCTTTAGTTTAATGTTTTAAATAAAAAAATGATCGTTCCATTTTTGTTATAATATTTGAAATACCAGGTGATAATAAATATTGTTTAAAGTAGGTATTGGCATTTAATAAGCTTTAAAAGTAGAAAAACATTTTCAAAAACTATTATGTTGTTAGAAGTGTAAAATAAATTAAATTCAGTTTGTATTAAAAACATATCAAAAGATCCACAAAAATTGTGGATCCAAATCCTCTTCTTGTCCTTTGATATTGATAAGAACAAGACAGGTTAGCTGCTTCAAAATAGCTATCCATGTGTATGTCCTTGTCCTCCAACACCTTTTTCTGTCTTCTTTCTGCCCCCCCCAAGAAATAAATGCTTTTACAAAAAGTTTAGTGTTTGTGCTGTTGTCCACTGGTTCATAAATTAATGATGGAATTCAAAAGCTCAGATTCTTGAAGCCATACAGATCAGTAAACTTTTACTTATTAACTTTTCTTTTTCCTTCTCAATTCTTTGTTCTTTTTCTCATTGTGATACTCCTGAGATATGCATGTTTTTTTTTTTCTCTCTCTATATAAAATTATTAATTTCATATTTTAAAAGTAACATAATTATGGAGTAACATTAACGATGTTGGTTTTGTTTTGATGTGGCTACAGATACATTGAGGAGGAAGATCTACTGAGATTCCTGAAGGTAGAAGAAGTGAACACCATTTTCCCTCTCTTTGAAGGCGCCATTGAAACAGGAAAAATCTCCAAATCCGCTTTCAGAAACTGGGTGGTTCGTATAATACCCCTAACACGCCTTAAATTCTATCAATCCCTTAATGCTTCTAAAATTTCGACATCTCATCATGCAGCTTCATGCCTACATCGAGCGGAAGGCATTGGCACATTCTTTGAACGACACCAAAACCGCTGTCCACCAGCTCCATAAGCTGGCCAGCGCCGTCGTGTCTGTGATTATCATAGTCATTTCTCTTCTGGTCCTCGGCGTCGCCACCATTAAGGTCCTCTTGGTTGTCACCTCTCAGCTTCTCCTCGTTGGATTCATGTTTCAAAACACTTGCAAAACCATATTTGAATCGATCATTTTCGTCTTCGTCATGCATCCTTTCGACGTCGGCGATCGGTGTGTCATCGACGGCGTCCATGTAAGTAGCCTGGTTAAAAGTATGAATAAATGAGCTTGACTGTGGTATGTTAGCTTTAGTTTTTAGAATGATAATGATTTGCCGTATCTCAAAATTTAAGTAAAAGAGGAGTGTTGATTCTGTTGAATATTATATGTATAGTACCTATAGGATTTGGGTCATTTTTGGTTTTCAGATGTTTGTGGAAGAGATGAACATATTGTCGACAGTGTTCTTGAGATTCGACAATGAGAAGATTTACTACCCCAATTCTGTTCTGCTGACGAAGCCGATCAGCAATTTTAGAAGAAGTCCCGACATGTCGGATACGGTGAATTTCACCATTGACGCCTCCACTTCTTTTGACAATATCACAGCCCTCAAGAAGGCAATGCAAATGTAAGCATTTCTACTACCATCCTTCCTCATTGCTCATTCATTCTTCATCAAAATACACAAAATTTCATTCAAAACTCATTACTCTTTTAAGTTTTATAATGTCACCAATTTTAGTATAGGTTAATTGTTAAAACAACTACTTCTCTTAGGTTGGAGTTTCAAACCACCTCCATATTGGTTTTAATTTTATTTCTTGGTTAAGTTTATTAAGGTGTCTTATAATTACTCGAACATTTAGGTTTAGGTCTATTCGACCCTTGAACTTTCTTTCACCTTATGTCTATTATGTCCTTGGAATGCTAAATTAGAAATTTAGAAGCCTATTAGACATGTTTAATGTTTAGAGATTTTTTACATGAAATAAACTTGTTCGATATTTTTTTCAAATTTAGAAACCTTTCAAGCGAGTTCTTCAAATACTAAACTTGTAGTTTGACTTATTTCTACTTATTTCTTTGTATATTAAATCTAGCTAATGTATCCATTTTTTGAACTTACTAAGTTTAAGCTTTTCAAATTGTGCAGGAATGTGTATGAAATTAGTTGGAGAACTAGAATTATCACTTACCAACATGTTGATGACAAAGTGGTGCTTTTTTTTGCAGATACATAGAGAGCAAACCAAAGCATTGGAGCCCAAAACACACATTGGTGGTGAAAGAGATTGAGAATATGGACAAGATGAAGATGAGTCTGTGTGTGCAGCACACCATGAACCATCAAAACTTCACTGAAAGGAACAGCAGAAGATCAGACCTCATTTTAGAACTCAAAAGGGTTTTTGAGAATCTGGGCATAAAATACCATCTCCTTCCTCAACAAGTTCTTCTCACTCACTTCAATTTAACTAATGCCCAAACCTTGCTCCCCTCCTCCTGAGATTACTTCTCTGCCAAATTTTTCATCCCGAGAAAAAGCTTTATATTCATCTTGACAATGCATCTAATGTTGCTCTACAAGTTTTAGGTTCTTTTTTCTTTTTCCATGAGCTTGATAGATCGAAAAGAAGACCGATCAAAAAGAGGAAGGCTTTAAACCAACCTACCCTGATAGGACCTCATAATGAAATGGGAGCTAGGGAGTTATTGAGAGGTTCCATATTACCGAGCCGAATTAGATAATAAACATTCAAACAGAGGAGCAAAATTGAGGCACTAATGTATGCAATAAATAAATCGTGAGTCACGCCTTTTATTATTAACTTTGCTATACATGATGAAGAAAAAAGAAAGAAAAGGACTAACACGAACAGAACACTCCACAACATTGAAAAGCAGAAAGGAAGCATGAAGAAGGAAGAACTCAAAAGGGTTTTCTGGGTGCTCTCAGCTGCTGAACCTATTCTATAAAATAATCTCTGGAAAACATGTTGAACTTAATTACGTTAAAGATGATGATGGATAAACCAACCCTTCAATTATATGAAACTTCCCACCCAACCCTCCAAAGGAAAACATATATAAATTTCTTTTTCTGCAAATTAATTTAAGTACCCTAAAAAAGCATTGGGGTGAGATGAGATGATCACGATTCCAACTAACAAAATTACAGCAGCAGCAATTTGGATTGACTACTCCTAAATAAATTCCTCTAACACTTTCGATTTCATAGGGTCGGGTGGCCGAAATGTCTCCAACCGCAAATTCGAGTTCGTGCGCACGTCCGTTAGGAACCCTTCTCCTTTCTCTGACCTGATTGCTTTCAAGACGTTGCCAAGAACATCAGCTGCAAGCCCAGCTTGACGAAGGGCTCCAGGTTCCTCTCCACCTTGATAGATTAGATCTCCAACTTCTTTCAAAGAAACCATGCTTTCTGTGATGACTTTGGCAAGAATCCGACCCAAATATTCTGGAGCCCTTGGGGCATCATTTACAGCATCTTCTAAAGTGGCAAGAACTGCTTCAAACCTGTCCAATGGAAGGAACAATTTCACAAATGGGTTATCTCAAAGCAAATGCTTACTTAAATGCTTCTTTTTCTTTTATCATTACCCTTTAACAAGATGAGCTTGGTTCAAGGTGCCATCATTAGCCCTGGAGAGGTTCACAACAAGTTTGCCCAAAAGATCCCTTTCCAAATCCGTCCTCTCGAACGCATCGTTGACCCAGAGACTAATAATGGTTGGATGGAAGTCTGGGGAATTCAAGTCTTTAATGCACAGGGCTACTTCCTTCTCATCTCTGGCACTGAAAAGCAGACAGATAAAAAGTTAAAGCAAAGCAAGTCATTATATCCCATTCCAATAATCCAAGCGTGTCGAACTCATATGGTTTAAAGTCGAACAGTGTCCCATGTTTGAACTGGTCCAGTAAAATAAAATTTGGACAATGTCGGGCTAGTCTAAAATGTATCACGAAGTTTGAACTAGTCCGGTAAAATCAATCTAGAGCACTACTAAAGGTAATAAGCCCATTCAAAGAGATTACAAAAAAAAATTATCCCGCTCGAGCATTCAGACACGATAAGTCATAAGCACTAGAAAAGTTGTTTAAGGAAGAGAATGAGCTTCAACATTTTCACTTCAACCACAAAACACAAGTTCGAACTCGTGCAAATAAAATCCAGTGCACTACTAAAAATTCAGTCATGGACTCGTGTTCAAAGATAAAACACTTGAAAAGCTTCAAATCATTCAATGAAGTGTGAGCTTTAAAATTTTCCTGTTTATATTTGTTTCATTTACGAGGTATCTATCTCAAGAAACTCCAACCAACCCAAGTTTTTGAGTTCGTTCTAAGATTCTCAACACCATTTTGAAGGAAGGCAGAATATAACAAAGGGCTTTTAAACAGATAGAACTCAGCATAAACAAGTCCATAATTTGATATCTCACCAAACAATAACTATCTGTACCCATGTTCTCAGGTTATATATGCTATTTGAGTCCCCAAAACCAAATAAACAATGACGTCATATATATAAATAAAAACCCAATCAGGGAAAACCAGCTGTTTCGTGTTCCTCAAATCTCGAGAGCTTCATCTAAAAAATTACTGAATGTAAGATAAGCACTAATACACTTAGATAGGACATAAAGAACCCTCAGATTTCTCTAAATATGTGGAAAGGTATCATCTCACAACATACCACGTTACAACCACATCATTCCCTTATGCATAGAAGCTTACTAAATGGATTAGGAGTATATAAACTAAAATAAAGTGATCATTATACACAATTAATGGCATTATCAGATAAACGAAGTATATGATATTGAAAAAAAATGTGACTTGAAAGGAAGTTTGGTCGTAGAACTAACATTTGTAGCAAAAACCCAGTAAACATCAATACAATAGTACCATCTATACCCAGTAATCTATTATGCAAGCACAAATAATGTATACATGAAACTGCATACCTGTAGAACTCCTTGATTGCCGTCAGTGATAATTGTCGCAACCGATCTTCAGACAAAACTTTTCCAGATGGAAGACTTGAGGTCAATGTTGGGGACGGTGTGGCAGGCGAAATCGGACGAGATCTATCAAAATGACCTGAATGTCTCAAATCCTTATTCCCATAATTTGAATAACGGTCTTGACCACTTGTATGGTCCAATAAAGTTGGACCAGAATATCTCTCTGGCATATGTCTTGAAATTGGATCCTCTTTGGAAGTTAAGGTTGCACGCTCTGATACAGAGCTATATCCGTTCAAAAAAGCTGTTGGTGCACTTCTCAATTCTCCTGTAAGAGGGGATATTTCGGCAGGAGCAGCAGAACTTGGTTGAGGTCCTCTAATGGACATTCCTCGAGCCAGACCACCCTGTGGTCCAAGAGTAATAGAATCATCTCCACCAGCTCTGTGAGGCAATGTAACAGACAGTGTCCTAGCTTCGTAAGACTGTCTTTCATCTTGACGAGCATCCTGACTAGCAGCATATCCACGAGCCTGATTTGGATATCCACGAAAACCTCCCATGTGATTACCTGGGGATGAAGCAGCTGATCCCCTAGGGCCATAATCCATAGGTGGGCCCCCTCGCCTTGCAGAAGGATTCATGCCCGGACCACGACCAAACCTACCAGTTTGAGCCTGCCGCTCTTGAGCAGCATCTCTGTGTACTTCCTCAATCTTTTTCGGGCCTTCAACTTTTCTCCTCTGCTGCCATTTGTTTTTCCTCAGATCAATTGCATCTTTAAGCATGAACCGGACCCTGGATGATAATTTCATGTTGTTTGATAACATTGTCATGATCTCAAAATAAGAATCCATATAGCCTTTTGCTTTGGGATGATCTATCATCTCTCCAATTGTGCTCATCAATTTGCACAAAGCTTCAACATCTTCCTCATCTGGATTCTGATATTCCCCCAGTAACTTCTTGATGCATTCATGCATTATTCTTTCAGTCAACATTTTCTTCTTGTACAATTCGCCTATTAATCTAATGTTACCAAGCATTCTTCTCCTTGCCTTTATGCGTTTTTCTTCCCTTTCCTCTTCAGATTGCTTTACCTCACCTTCCTCTTCAACTTTGTTTGCTTCTTCCTGTTCTCTTTCACCTCTCTCAAATTCCTCCTGACACTTATTGAGTAACAATCTCTTAAAAGTCATCTTCTCGTTGTCTTCACTTAAATCAGGCAGTTCTCCAGCAAGATGAAAACAGAAGTTGGCATACATTTCACAGAAAGTAGGCTCCATTAAAGCTTTGTCAAAAATCTGTGATATTACTCCAGTTAGAGTTCTGCCATTATCGACGTTTACTGCTTTTACTTGCTCAAAGAGCTTTTCAAAATTCTGGGGTGTTAACTTATTTAGTATGGCCTTCAATTGCCTTTGCTTGGCTTCTTCTTCATCTGACACCTTACCCACCTCATACTTCTTCTTAGCTTTGTGCATAGTCTGCAATGGTGTTTGCGGCGAAGGAATTAAACCCTTCTGAAAATTGGGAGCTCGTTGCCACCTATCTGCATCAGAATTATTTCTTTGTAACCCTCCCTGTGGTCCCATAGACTGCAAAGGCCCAGCAAGTATCCCTCCAGCATACTGAACAGGAGCCTGTGCTCGGGGGTTCCTTAGAACACCAAAATTGGCTCCTTGACCAGGTCGAAAACCCGCATTAGCACCATAAGCTAGATCCAAACGAGGATCCTGTCCTGGAGCAAAAGGTCCAGGCAATTTGCTCCATCGGTCATCATCAACCAAATTACTGCCACGGCGATCCAAACGTGATCCTCCACTTGATGGTCTATCTACTCTTCCTGCATTTGGATATGAATCACGATCAGGATGATGAGATGCATTGGCATGAGTACTCATCAAGGACTCTATATCAGGTGTAACTTCAAAGTTATGTGGAAGGTCCAGAAACTGCTCAGCAAACTTAAGGAGAAAATCCCTAGAATACTTCTTGGCCATATCTCCCATTCTGTCATCACCGTCAAGCACTGATGTACCTACACCATCTCCATTTGCCGATTGCAGTTTGGGTGTAGCAATATCAGCAGCATCTTCCCAATCATCAGGCTCAGCTTTATTCAGTGCAACAGCATCTTCTTTAGTAGCCTCAACAGACTGCTCCGTGTCAACACTAGAAGATCTCCTTTCTGTCCTCTCAATGCTCTCAGAATGTGCTACTGCTTCTTTCTTCTCTTCAGGTCGCTTATATGCATTGTAAAGGTCCGAAGTTGTTCCTGCAGCATCTGCCATTTGAAGAATTGCCTTTAGCTTCTTCCTCCCTTTTCCAGTATTACCCTTAACCCTGCTCATCTCTACAACGGATTTATCCTTGGTGCCATAAACAGCATGTGAACTATTGCCACCGATACCAACGGTATCCAACACCTCTCCATCATTTTTTCCATCTGTAAGTCCCAGGTTTAGAGCAGGTTCAGATGGCTGGTCAGATATGACACCTGTTTTCATTAAAACTTCATTGCTACTTCTATTGTCATCTCTACCAGAAGCATCAACAACTAACTTGTCACCTTGGGTATTTTCAGGAACAGTTGAA